GAACACATTTCTTGTTTTCTATTGTTTCCCCCCTTTCTTTATTTTCTTTATCCAATAAGGAAAGGATGATTTGTCCTTCTTCTTCTTTTGCATGATGGTTAATAGAAAAGATAAGAAATCAAGCAACCTATATATCGCTAACTATAGGAGCATCTTCAACCTAAACAACAAAGGCTAAATCAAGCAAATCGTGTGCTGAGGCAATTAGCATAAACATAGTATATACACACACACATTCAGTTGGACAAGCTCTAGTTCATAAAATCAAAAGATACAATGATCAACAATCCAATAGCCCATATGCTTATGTTCATAGGAGAATATCACATATTTTTAATGCTCTGCAATTAAGAGATTCCAGACAAATAAAGGAACAAAAAGACGAGAAATGCATGAATAGTCTTGTCAACTTCTACAAAATCGATTGTAACATTCAATTTTGCTAACGTAAATCATTTACGCGAATACGGGTGTGTTGTGACTATTAATAAAATACATCTAAATCATATAATAATTTATATTTAAAACTTACTCATATGCACAAAATGTACTGATCATAATTATCTTAAGATCAACTGCTTTCCTTACATTTATATTTTTTTGAAATGTGTTTGTACCATACTTGACCAATCCCGAAACTACTGAGCACCGGTCAACGTTATACTATCAATGACCCAGAAGAGTTTCCCTCCAACCAGGAGGCCAATCACAGTGCCACACGTGTCGACATCAGAAGCCAATCATAGCGCAACACGTGTCAACATCAGAAGCCAATCACAACACGACACGTGTCAATGTCAGAACAAAGCTAGAAACTCTCTTCTATAAAAGGAGATCATTCTCCCACAATATTTCCTAATGTCATTTGTACTAAATCATTCACTAGTACTCATTAAAGGAGAGCTTGAACCTCTGTACTTGTGTAAACCCTTCACAATTAATGAGAACTCCTCTACTTTGTGGACGTAGCCAATCTGGGTAAACCACGTACATTTTGTGTTTGCTTCCATGTCCCTATCCATTTACATACTTATCCACACTAGTGTCCGGATCAATCTAGCGAAGGTCACAAACTTAACACTTTTTGTTGTACCAAAATCCTCACTGATTTTGTGCATCAACAAATGAATTACGTACCTAACAGATATTTTCAAATTAACGTGAAAAAAAAAAAAACCAAATGTTGATATATATAATCTTCTTTTTTTTCTTTTTTTTTTATGAAATTTATTATATAATAGTTAGTGACCGGATCCCCATCAACCAGTGTCATCCCATTTTCTACAAGAAAAGATAAACTTTAAACTTTAAAAAGGTATAACAATGTGTTCATGTTGGATATGCTAGCTATAACACTGTTCTAACTCATAATTTCCAATACAATAATTATGTTTGACGCATTGCCGCTGCACTTCAGAGCTACAAGTTTAAAGAGGAACAACAAAAATAAGCTAATTTCGTCTTCTGTAAACAAAAATAAACTAATTTTGCGTAAAGATGTAAAACTTTCTCCCCCACCGCAGTGCAGTTATATAATATTTTTTCAAAAGACAAAAGGCTTTGAATTGTTAATCATATCGTATTTAATTATTATATATATTTTAAGATTTTCTGGATTGATATTGTAGTTAATTATGATCAAAACTAAATTATTTCAAATTATCTTTCTAACAAAAATCTGAACAATGAACGTATCTTAAAATTTTAGATTCTCGATATTGTTTTGTTGGAATCAACAAGGAAAATACGACCATACGATCTTACTACTTTATTTATGTCCTGCATATGAACCTTATGTTATGACTACCGTCTGAAAGCAATTGCTAATTGATCAACTAGTGCCGATGATATATAGATTAGAATAACATCGTCCGGCAAAAAGTATTATACATTCTTTTATGAATGTACAATTACAATACACCACTATGAGATAAAAGCTCGCTACTATGAGATAAAAACTAAAAAGAGGCATATAATACGAAAGATTGTAGACCTTTCTTACAGCCGATGACACTATTTAACAGACATAATCATGGACTATCTGAACACATAACAATTATTTGTATCGTACCATCAGTAGTGCTACTTGGACAAGTATATTAGTTTCAATAGAATTAATCTAATAGAACACACATTATACAAACCCTAGTTGAGGCAGTGGGGTATTAACTTTGGTTGGGTTGAATTGGACTTGGTAGGAAGGAAAAGACTGAAGAGAACGCCCAATCTGTGGCAATCTGGCCATCTGCAAGCCTCCAACTCTGAAAAAGAAAGAGGCAGTGGGAATTTGAGTCCTTTGGGTTTGGCTGTTTCGAACAGATCATTCAATATCATCAAGCATGCCACTGGATGTCACCATCACATAAAAGACATCCCAACACCCACACTAAGACTTATTACTCTCTATTATCATCTCCTCCGCTTTCTCTCTTTCCATCTCTTTTCTTTTCTACCGCCCATTATTTGGGTCCCGCCCATTCTTCCTTTTGTCGCTTATTGTCGGCTCTCCTACTAATCTCTCACTTCCTCCTTACTCTTTCAAATTTTCATTTTCCATTTAATTAGTCTCCAAAATTGATAATTATCTGTTTAGCTAAGGGAGTTCATAATTAATTTACTTTACTCAACTACGACTAATTGTTTCTTATTTCTAATGAGAATATGAACGTTTATTAGCACCACTTCTCATATCTCACTCTAATGCTACTTCAGCTAGTGTTTCAAACAACTTCATGCATGCTAGGGTTTTTTAGCACCACTAAATCGACTTAATTAATAGAGGTTTAAATGATTTTATTCTTTCAATTTATACGACAGATATTAACTTTTGTCTATGTAGCCATTCAATACGGTGATATTCCTCTTCACATGTAAGTGAGAGGTCTTAGGTTCGAATCTTGTGGATGGCGAATTCGATACAAAACTAGGTTGCCCATTATATGGCTTAACCGAACTCCACCCTCTCTTAGTGTAAAATACATCGTTGTACTAGAAAATAAAAAATAAAAAACAAAAACTTTTGTCTATGAGAATATGGATTGGTCCGAGCCTCCACCAGATATATATATATATATATATATATATATATATATAATAGGTTCCCTTGAACTAATTACTAATATCATTAATCAATTAGGGTTCTAATAATATGATTGTGCCTTTAAACTCGTCCCATACTTCTATCAAATTAGTCTATATATCTTTATGACATACCAAAAAGAAACGAGAAAAACAATAGTACTGCTCAAAAATATGAATAGGTTAATTAAAGTACCTCAACATGAGCCAATCTTTGAAGATGCTTTGTTAAAAAAGAAGAAGAAAATTTGTTACTTTGTTGTTTTTGAGAAGGATAATTAAAGTAGCTCAATCTCGGTAAATTATATAGATATATACACACACTTTAGAAAAAGGTTGGAAGACTCGACTCAATCATCTAAATTACTAGTACTGCATTCATGGTAGGTAATTATTCCTCCGGACTGTATGACTAAAATCTTGACACACACACATATATATATATATAATGCTAGGTGATTAAATTTTTAAACTAAATTTACAAATTAAATGATGTATCACTGATAAGAAATAATTCATTAACATTATTTTGTCACATTCCGGCCCGGGACGGACCACTTCCCGGGCCCGCTCTACCACCGTAACACGATATTGTCCGTTTTGGGCCCCGACCATGCCCTCACGGTTTTGTTTCTGGAAACTCACGAGCAACTTCCTAGTGGGTCACCCATCATGGGAGTGCTCTAGCCCCCTTCTTGCTTAACTTCGGAGTTCCGACGAAACCCGAAGCTAGTGAACTCCCAAAAGGCCTCATGCTAGGTAGGGATGGGAATATACATTTAAGGATCGCTCCCCTTGGCGATGTGGGATGTTACAATCCACCCCCCTTAGGGGCCCGACGTCCTCGTCGGCACACTTCTGGCCAGGGATTGGCTCTGATACCAATTGTCACATCCCGGCCCGGGGCGGACCACTTCCCGGACCCGCTCCACCACCGTAGCACGATATTGTCCGCTTTGGGCCCCGACCATGCCCTCACGGTTTTGTTTCTGGGAACTCACGAGCAACTTCCCAGTGGATCACCCATCATGGGAGTGCTCTACCCCCTTCTCGCTTAACTTTGGAGTTCCGACGGAACTCGAAGCCAGTGAGCTCCCAAAAGGCCTCGTGCTAGGTAGGGATGAGAATATACATTTAAGGATCGCTCCCCTGGGCGATGTGGGATGTTACAATTTGGTTTACAAAATTTGGTTTAGAAATTTGATCTCCTAACACTATACTTAACAAAAATGCTATTCTTATCTCGTTTATTTACCATGTTTGTACGAACTATCTCTCTAATAAAGATGAAACTCACATGTATTGATACACCAATTTGTTAGACCAAATTTGTAAATCATATGATGTGTCACCAATAGAAAATAAGCACATGAATTAGCACTTAAATAATAATTTAATCATCAACAACCATGTCATACAATTTATAAAATTTAGTTTAAAATTTTGATTTCTCTAACCTTTCCTATTTAATTGAGCATACCGAGGATACTTTAAGAAATTTAATTACAATACTTCGATGAACGAAAAGAACCATTAATCCATGTTCATGTATGGTCCTTAGAAAACATCTAAAAGAGAGGGTGACAATGAAGAACAAGAATCAAGACTTTCGCATTATGAGGTCAATAAAGAGAAACCCACCCACCACCATCACTACATACACTAATGATTCCACAAAAGATGAATAAAAATGAATTTTCTAAGCAAAAACAGACAAAAATCTCACATAAAATAATACAATTAACAGCACTAATGCAGTGACATTTTTGGGGTTATAGTCAAAATAAAGACATTTCTTAACCTTTCATCATCAATCATAAAGTAAGCCAATGCATAAAGCGATAAGCGCACACAAAATCTAAAAGAAAATCTAAAACATTCTTTGTTCCGCTTAGAGCAGCTGCAGACAAAGAAGGTGAACACTTTCTCCCTCTCTCTCTCTCTCTCTCTCTCTCTCTGTGAAGTCATCAGCTTCCTTTCTTTCCTTTTCTCTTCTGAATTCATGGATACTGCTCAATGGCTGCAGGTGGGGGGATTTATAATTTTTCTTCTTATGTATTCTTTTTCCTTTCTTTAATGTGCATTAGTTCCATGAGCCAAATTTAATTAATCTTGGTTAGAAAGACAGATCAAGCTCCAAAGTGTTTGAAACATATGTATAATTACTGTGTGGGGTATTTGGATATCTTTAATCCAAAGATAAAAGGTTATTTCATACTTCTAGCTAGGCAGCTACTTGTTATGATGATCTATCTCCATGTTTATTTAGATTTCTAGATCCGTGTGCATCTGTAGGATATATTGTTCGTTTTGTTTAATTTTCATTAAAATGAATTAGGGCTCTTAATTTTGATTTCACTCTCTTAATATTGGGAGGTTGTCAATTAATTATAATTAGGGAAGTGGAGAACTTGAGAAGCCCATGGAAGATCATGAGATGGGATCCAATGGATGCACAAGGTCAGTGTTGGAGAAAAGGGCTAGACCTCAAGAGCAATTGAATTGTCCAAGGTGCAGTTCAACCAACACCAAGTTTTGTTACTACAACAACTACAGCCTCACTCAACCAAGGTACTTTTGCAAGACATGCAGAAGGTATTGGACTGAAGGTGGAACTCTCAGAAATGTCCCAGTTGGAGGAGGTTCAAGGAAGAACAAGAAATCCACATCCTCATCGGCTTCAGTATCGTCAAAGATTACTATTCCTGATCTTAACCCACCAACAACCCTTTCACACTTTTCATCATCTCACCAAAACCCTAGGGTTACCCATGAAGGCCAAGATCTTAACCTGACCTTTGATTCTATAGATGCACATTACCATGGTACTACAATGGAAAACAACAACAGTACCAATTCCTCATCAGCTCCTAATCTTTCAGCTATGGAGCTTCTTAGGACTGGCATTGCTTCTAGAGGTGTGAATTCATTCATGCCAACCCAGAATATGCCTGATCATCATTCAAATACAGTACTCTATCCACCATCATCAGTAGGGTTCTCGCTGCAAGAATTCAAACCAACAAGCCTTGGTTTTTGTGTTGATGGGCTTGGAAATAGGTATGGAGGGGATGATCATGAGAATGTTAATGGTGGAAGGATATTGTTTCCATTTGGGGATCATCACTTGAAACAGATTTCAAGCACTGCAGGTCATCATGAAGTACTTGATCATCATCAGAACAAGGGGCAAGGGAACCCAACAGGGTATTGGAATGGTTTATTAGGTGGAGGCTCGTGGTGATGATTAAATAAGTGAAGGATCGGATGAGGGAGAAAAAAAGACAAGAAAGAAAGTGTATGTTCACTTTTAGTTTCTTCCTTTTTTATTTTTTTTGCCCTTAAAAGTTGGGTTACTTATTTGAAGTTGTTCAGAACTAACAGATAGGATAAAATGTGGTTTCTAATTTGTTAATATATATATATATATATATATATAGATATATATATGTATGTATGTATGTATGTATTCCTCTCCTTTCTTATTTTGGATTGGCTTTCTACAAGAGGGTTTTGTAAATCCAGTACTTGATATCGAGTAGGGGATATAGAAGAACAAATGAATGTAAGGCTCTTGGAAACGTGACATGCATTCATGCATTCTTCTATCAAGTCCAGGACATGCATTTGATAATGCACTTGTTGTATTATTTTATAGACTTGTTGATCTAGTTAATGTACTAGTGTATCAGTTGCGCACTTGCGCTTTCCCTTTTTGTCTATGAACTAGATTGAATTATAACTTCTCCCTCTTAATATTTGTTTGAAGTTGATTTTGTTACGTGATAATGCTGCATAATTTACTCAACTCTCTCTCTCTCTCTCTCTCTCTCTCTCTCTCTCTCTCTCTTATAAATACTTATTCGAAATTATTTTTGTTACATGATAATGCTGAATAGTTTACTAAGCTCTCTCTTTATAAATATTTGTTTAAAGTTATTTTTGTCACATAATAATACTCATTAGTATTATGCACTAAAATCTTTCTATAAAAATTTATTTAAGGTCGTTTTTGTTACCTAACAATGCCGACATGAATGTATCCATAATCAATATTATTTCTTAAACACATACTATGCTTTAAATGGATTGGTCTATCTCGTGAGAGCAACTCCACACAGATTTTTCTCGAAGCACAAGAATAAGGCGGGTATGAGGTGTTAGGGTTGACGTCTTATCTATACACAACTGAGATTCTTCCAGCTATGAAAGCATTTCGTTAGAAAACAAATTGGGCACCTAAAATGATGAAGGCCTACCTTTAATTTTACCCTTAAATAAAATTAAGGGTTTATTTCACAATTGGTCTTTAAAATTAACTTATGCCATCAAGATTGTCCCTAAAATTTAAAATCGATCAATGTAGTCCCTGAAAGTAGACGTCACAAATCAATGTGCTCATATGACACACAAATAGGTCTCACAAGTTTTATTTTTGATTTTTTTTATTTTATCACAAATGATTCTTGAAATTGACTCACACCATCAAGATGGTCCCTGAAATTGATCAATATAGTCCTAAAATAGATGTCTCAAATCAATGTGGTCCTTTTATCGTAATTTGTCAAAAATTTTATTATGTACTGATGGACCTAGAAGTCCAACTAAATAAAAAATAAATTAGAAATAGGTCTAATAATTTAACAATTAATTAAAAAAGTTGTCAACCAAGAAACTCAGCCCCGCAATCACCTCCGATCCCAACCCATACTCCTCTACCTCTATCTATGGTAGCCTTCACCATCTCTTCTCTGGAAAAAAATAAATAAATCTCAAGACACCCATCTTTACACCCTTCGATCACCCTTCATCAAATTGACCAAGATTGAGACCACCTTTGGTGACGGCTTGGATTGGTGACTACTTTTGTGACTCCACCGTCAACATTTGGGCAATCGACAACCTAACAACTTTAATCTTGGAGAGCTTGTTGGGTGCTCCCTAGGTGATCTTGGTGACACGGAGAACGGTAAGCTCTACCTTGAGATAATCTCACTCTGCAAAAAGGTATTTTGACAACTTTTCTAATTAATTATTAAACCCACATCAGCAAGTAACAGAATTTTTGACACAATTGTGATGGAATGACCACATTGATTTGCGACACCTATTTTCAGGGGTTACGTTAATCGATGTTCAATTTCAGGTACCATCTTGATAGTTTGGGTCAATTTCAGGGACCATTTGTGATAAAAACTCTTACATCTCGTGTGCCCCATTTATGTGCCACATCAGCACATAACATAATTTTTGACAGAATTATGACAGAAAGATCACAATAATTTGTGACACCTATTTTTAGGGACTACATTGATCGATTTTCAATTTCAAGAACTATTTTGATGGTGTGGATCAATTTCAGAGACATTTGTGATATAAACCCTAAATTTAGTGGGTATATGAATACTTATTCTATTAACAATCAGACTCACTAATAAGATCCAATTCAATTATTAAAGTACTAGAACCGATCTAGGCACTAGTACTAGTGGTGGTAGACCCAATACACATTCTTTTACCCAGTATTTTATGTTCTTACTTTAGGGTTTCTTAGACACAAGTCACACACCACCACCAAACTAATAAGCAATAAACTACAAAGATTCACAATTTTAATTAAGTACCTGCCTCAACCGAAAGCAAACCTAATCAATTTGTTGAAACACTCGGCCGGCCGCTGATCGGTTTTAGAAGACTCCTTCCATGAAAGATCATCATAACTTGCATGCCTTTCTATAAAAAAAACATTGATAAAATCAGAAGGAAATCCCCACAAAGACCACCCCTCCTCTCTTCTAAATTTTGATTTTAGGGTACTTAAAATGGGACCTCTCAAACATTCCCTTTGGTTTAGTGGGTTCCAGGGAAAGCGTGTCGATAAACCATTTTCTCCACCAACTCTCAGTCCATACATTTTCATATCTTAATTTGGAGTTTTCGTATGATCATATCACCCATTCCTTTCTGGATCACTAAACCCATTTAGGAAAGTAACCCACACGGGGTATTCACGTGAGCCTTTGAGAACTTTACCTTACAGTGTCGCACAGACCAAAGAAAATCCGACCTGCCAATTTCCACTGATTTACCAAAGAAAATTTTTTGTTCAATAAAAACAAAAAGGATTTTTTAATTTTACCTATTGATGTTTCTTGAGTGCCTAATTACACTTAGTATTGACACATATTTGACCATCCAACGACTAATTGCATTTACTAATCCATCTCCATGTCAATGAATCACTACCATACATCAGTAACCAACCCAGAGGCTGTCAAAGTTTCCATGAATCTATATCCACACATTTTTATCTGTTTCAGGCATAAAACTGTTTTCAGGATGGAAAATTATCAAATAGATGTAAGTTACGAAGAAAAAAACAGACAAAATATGTGATACGCTCATATAGCACAGTGACTCTCCCACATACATAAAAATTTCTCTACTGTACAAAGATAATACAATTATTCCTTCATCATCTGGGAGGCACCTTGAAACGCCGTAAGCACAAAGAAAAAACATTATATTTTCTAATATCCCTCCAGTTCCAACTTCTATACAACGATATAGCTCTCCATCTGAATAAGATAACAATGTTCTGACTTTTGAACATGTCAACCCATATGTAAGCGCAACTCACTTATCTCCATTGATTCCAAAGATCCGGACTTTGTGCATGTTGGGGAATTTCGCTATGACCAGCACGATGACTGCAAGACTGTTGAAAAACAGCATCGGATGCTGGTAGTCAGTTGTGTGCGAAGCTATCAAGTACCTGGCAGGATATAAGGAAGACAAAAATGAGAACTGACATGGTTTTTGTTCTAACAAAGCTTCCAAAACATAATCCTAGTAAAAACTGTCATCTTTAGGACTGGTATTTGTCAGCAGGTTCATACAAATCCTATCATAATCAGAGCTTCAGAAATTTCTATTTATTTCCAATGCCTTGGTAATAATGTATTAAAAAAAAACACGGGCAATGATTCTGACCAAGAGAAACTGACTCCCAAAATTACCAAGATCTAGGAAGCTAACTTCTCCAACCGCAGCAGGTTAAATCTAATTCCGGGTATATGGGTTTGGGGATCTATAAACGCCATACTTCTAAGTTGGGAAGCCAATCAAGCACATACTAGTGGTAGACGAATCCTAGCCATACCAAATATTGACGTGATCAATAAGTTTACGTGAATTATTTGATGGTAAAAAAGGTTGAAAATAGCAAGAGGATACGACTGAATTCATACCTAGGATTATGTTATGAGTTCACAAACTGCTCCATGGATATGCAGACATCTCAAATGGAGGTGTCATATTCTTATCCAAAAATTATGGTAGATTTTACTAAAATCTGGCTTCCTTGCAGGCATTAATATGGAACACTGATATGTGGTCCATAAGGCAACCACAAACAAACAAATTGTAATATGTGCAGTGCATAAAATCTGGCCTGAACTGCAGGTGGAGTGTTCAGTGTAATCCCAAAGAGCCAATAGACCAGAACCAGAAATTCTTAATATTCTTAATATTCTAAATGTACTATCACAAGTTTTCATTTTTTTTTTAACTTCTAAGTTCTAAATAAGAAATGACCAGTGTCCTCTTTATTGTAGCTGGCCACCTGAATGAGTCTGGTACAGAGTCCCAACCCACGTACAGGCTTAGCTTTAAACTGGACCTAATATTTGGTGTAGTATGTTTGGGACAGTTCAACAAAAGTGTATATGCAACAAACACATGGTTGGAAAGGTTTGACAACAGCCTTCTGGAGCTGGGCAGGTTAATTTAAATAAAATCTTTAACAGCCAAGAGGTTCAATAATATTTAATCTTAGTGTAAAGAGTTGAAAATGCTAATTTTACAGCATAAAAATCAACTTACAGCACCACAGGAACAACGGTTAAGAACTTCCTGTTGCGAGTGAGCTGCTTTCCACTATCCATCTGCTCCCACCATGTCAGTCCATTGTAGATCCCCTGGTCATCAGCAAAGGGAGTTCCTTTCTTCCAGTGGAAGAAGTGATATGTGACCTGAAGAAGAACCAGACTCTTCAAATACGGTAGATGGAAATTGAATGAGACTAACCTAGAGTTAAGAGGTCAAACTAACAAAGCAGAAGACTGAACACACTGCTTAAGGATTATAAATCAAAATGTTATTTGGCCCAAAGCCTTTGATCAATAGATAATTCAGGAAAGACCGTTGAATGATTAAACACAGAAACATCATACCAAAACTAGGGAACAAAAGGCAACCTCAAGGTCGTCTCCAACAAAGTATACAACTCTAAAAATACAACTACCAGTTATGTGCATTAATTGGATATGAAGAACCGTTATGAGTTATAACCATAGCACCATATAATTGGAGAATTATCTATTTGCATACAATCAATGGGGACATATCTAATACTTATTCCTGAACTCCCAAGTCCCAGAAAATAGGACATTAGAGTACAGTTGAAAATAGAACAAAGAATAGCTTTCGATAAGAGTTACAATGACAATCCCCCCAAGTCGTGAACAAAGTGTATGGAATCCTTTCATGCCATTGTCTTCAAAAACTTAACAACTAACTGACCTCAAAAACACTGCTCAGCTCAGTTAAGGTAACATTAGCATCTCTAAACAAAAAATGAAATTGTAATATTCAAATGTCATCTATCTACTCCTTCAAATTTTAGTAACAACCAAACTAAATAGTGAAATTAGTATATCCGCACCATAAGGCTTCACATGATTAACCTCGTTTTCTAAGCTAAACCACAGACGACTCCAACAACCAACTCATACCCTCTATTACAAGATAACAAAATGGATTAAATCCTACCTTAAATCAAGAAATTCACAAACTAGGTCTTCACCCTCCACACAATACCTCATATGAAACCAATAACTACATGAAACGCCCTAATTAAGCATCGAAATAACCCATGTAGAATTACGAAAGCTACACCTAATCATATGCGTGGAAACACAACGCATCATCATTGAGCTGAATAATTACAACATGGGTTTCATACAAAATTCAACTAAATGCAATTACTTGAATGATTAAGCATCAAATTCAACAGCCTCTAATCAACAAACATAAAAAATTCCACAAACCCAATTGAAAACAACACCAATAAATCAAACCCAGTAGACAACATCTGCACACCACCAACCACATAGAGAGAGAAAGATACCGCAAAATGAGAGAGATTGACTATGGTCCAAGCCATGCCGGGAGAGCAGCCAAAGATTGAGAGCACGAGAAGCCAAGAGAAGAAGAGGATGAGGATATAGGTGGTCCAAACACCAGGGTACATGAACCACTCTGTGTTCCTATTCAGATCCGCAGGTGGCACAGCTTTTACATACAGACTAGCCATCCAAAATTTCGGATCCTGGGTTTTGATTCGGCGACCCGTTTGGTCGAAAACTTGAAGAATTTGGTGGGTTTTGATTTGAGGATAAGCTGGGATTGAATCTGCGTGTCGGATTCAAGATTTGGTCCTTTTTTGGGTGTTTGATGGTTTCGAAAATCCAAAACCCAAAAAGCAGAGCACTCTGTTTTGCTTTGCTTTTTATATATGAAGTCTATTATTTCTCTCCGTTGGGTTAACGGCGGAGGGGAGTATCGATATTTCACGGGGTTATACGACGCCGTATAGAACCACATAGGATCTTCTTGTGGATTTGTTTACTTGTTAAATAATTTATTTTGAATTTACAAATTTCTTGACTGAATTTATTTAGTAGGTTAAGGATGACAAGATCACTGAATTTTTTGTAGATTTGACTCTTTAGTTGCTAATAGCTGCCATGGTAACTCTTTTGGTTTGGTGTTCAATTTTATTTGGATGAAAATTAGCCCTTTAGGAAATTTCCAAACTTTTTTTCATAACCCTATAAAATAAACTTTATTATTAACGTAATTCACGTGAATTTCAAAACATACAAGTGTACAATAGTGCTCAATAGCTAATCAATTAATATACTAATAAGACGCTAACAACTACTCAATGTTTTTTCATGGTCTAATATGTTTCTTTTGAAGTCCTCACATACAATCATCATTAAAAATCACTCAAGTTAAGGTATCTAACAAGTGGATTGCCCTCATGTAAGCGTCATTCTCTTCAACTTCATGCATCTCAAGTTCAAACTCTTTTTTTCTTTTCTTCCTCTTGATAGCAAGTGGTGTGTTGTTATCAAGTAATAATATCGCTTGTAATAAAAACAATAAACAATCATTTTAATAAAACAATGAATATTCAAGATGACACTTATTATGACAAAGTATCTTGGAGTAATAAATCAGCCACATTCATCATGCACAATCCAAGATCCCCATAACTCTCCGAACATACCAATTACCAAATCAACACACTGAAACGATCTCCGATAACTTTCATAATCCGCAGAGTTGTTGGAAGTTAAGTTAATGAAAGAAATGGGAAGAAAGCCCTTCTTTTCTGGAACTCTAAGAAAACAAGAAATTGGTTGCAAGATTAAATACTTGGGTGTGAAGTCTGTGTCACAATCAAATCATGAAAGCTGGTGTCCAAATAAATAGTAGACGGCCCCAATATCAATAGTTTGATAAAGACAAGGGCCAAGGCTCGAGCCAATTAACTCAAAGTGGATATTAGGCATGGGTAGGTTGTGGTTGGCTCAACTTTTTGTCAATAAAGTTTATAATTTGCCTTTTATTTACTTTCTTTTGCTTGGCAATGATAATGTGTGTTAAAAATGACTTTTTAGATAAAATGTTAATAAGATTCGTATAACTCTTTATTTTAGTTTTTGAGATTTGGAATCGGTAAAAGGTCCCTGAGTTTGTGCATCATCAATCATTCTAGTCATTCTATGAAAATTCTACCAAGTAAGGACCAAAATGACAAAAATAAAACAATTTAATAAACAATGAGCCAAAATGATTTGACAAAAATTGAGGGTATTTTTGTCATTCTATCTTATTTAATGGATATTTTTCAAGGAATAACCAAAATAATTGATGGTGGGCAAATTTAGGAACCACTTTTATTGATTTCAAATCTCAATTACCAAAGTGTAGAGTTATGTCAATCTAAAATATCATTTTGGCTAAAAAAGAAAGAAGTGCATAGTATTACCAAGCAAAATGCAGCCCAAGCTAAAGGCCCATTTCAACCAAAGGGGCAATTTCTCCTATCCTGGCTAGCAAATTCAGTACTTCGTAATTTCTTGTGGAGCCTTCACTTCTCCACATGGACATCTTCGGTGCCTCACGACTAATTTGACTTCGTAACCTGCAGCTGATCCCAAACCCTTTTCTTTACTTACATAAGGTACTTGCTTGTTTAAGGAATGAATAGGATGAAAAAGGGGGATCTCATCAAGTACGTGCTTGCCACTAGATATCATCTGAATGGACGTTTTCTGGTAATAGAAACCCCATTTAGGTCTTTGTGAGGCCAGCCATTTGGGTGGAGGTGGAATGTTGGAATGCTCCCATCTCTACCGGTATCCTCATATACATAGTACTACAAACCAAAATGCATCAAGTTTAAGGCTATTCAACCAAGGTAGCTACAAAGCTCTCTGACATGAGGAGAAAAACTTGAGCATGAATTAGTTTATGCCTCCCATTACCCGTGTGATGTAAGTACAACCCTCGATGCATGACACCGCATAGTTCCAGCCACTATCAGTTGGTAAGTTCAGGCATGAGTCATAACCAGTTGATTGATCAAGATGTCGTAAAGAAATTTTTCTCGTAACATAAGAAACAAGACCTACCAAATCTCCAAGTTTGGTTAGCATGTCATTGGACAAACTATTTGAAGTAGTAGCAACCTCCTCAATGACTTTGATAAGTTCAAGCATATTTCAGCGTGGTTTGTTATACTTTAATGTTGGTTTAAGTTCATCATGTCTCCTATATAACACTACTACAAAATTATCTATAATTGGCGGTCCAAAAACCGACAAGAAATGTATATTATTGTCGGATTTCAAGCAAAATCCGACAGAAAATGGATGCAGTGGCGGATATAATAAGCAACAAAATTGCCAGCGTCAGGAAATGAATGTTTTGACAGAAAATACTCTAAAACCGACAGAAATTATGTCGGATATAACCGACAGGATATATACTTATAATAAATAAATAAGAGAATTTATGTCGGATAAAACCGACAGAAAATACTAAAACCGCCATAACTCCTGTCGGATATAACCGACATACAATTTATTAATAAGAATAAATAAAAGAATTCTTATCGGATTAATAATAAAAATATATATAAATCACTTTCTGCATTTTCCATATCCCCTGAACTTTCTGCATTTTCCATAGCATTCACCATCTAAAACCTCGCTTGAGCTCGATCTCGAAAACCTCAGGGCCCTTAAAATCTTAGGCAAGGGAGCAATGGGCACCGTTTTCTTAGTCCACGACTTGTCGTCCGACCCCTCCGCCCGTCGCCCATTCGCTCTCAAAGTCGTCAACAAGTCCACCCTCTGCTCCAAGCTAGACGCCGAGCGCCATGCCCGTTAGGAAATCCAGGTCTTGACCAGACTATCCAGCCCGAACCCTCACCTATTTCTACCCTCCATCATGGGGTCGTTCGAGTCCGACGAGTTCATGGGATGGGTTGTCCCTTACTGCTCCGTATTTGAGGTGTCTCGAGCAGTATCAGCACCATAATGTTGTGCTAACCGTTCTGAGCGACTACATCCGCTCGTAGCACCACCACCAACAACATCCAACCCACTGAAACAAACAACACAAAATTATTCAAGTTTTTCAACCTCTCGGCCGGGTAACTACTAACTACTAACAAATTTTAACAAAAAAAACACACATCAACAATCCCAAATCCCAAATTCTGATGCAATCAAATTTATCTCCTACCTACCTACTCATTTCTCAAAATTAAAACCCTAATAAAAAATTAATCTCCAAATCCCCATTTTGTAAATCATAATTTGAAACCTAATTCAAACGCATGTGATCCCTAATTCGTTTTGTTAAATATGAAATTGCTTACCTTAAATGGCTGGAACTCTGGAGATAAAACAGAGAGGATTGTGGTTGACGACACGATACACGGTGCGCAGGTGTAACAGCTCGTTGGAATTGGAAGACCCAAACCCAGACCCTAACTATTTTACGGAACAAATATACTCAGATGTAAAGACAGAGAACCACCATTGAAGAGCAATCCTCCTGGAGCATCAGTGCCACATATTCAAATCTAAAACGTTTTTGTTCAGAAAATCACTGAACATATATACTGCAAACAACAAGCTTAGTGAATGCCTTGGATTTGTGCTGAGCATGCAGACCAGTCTGCAGTTGAGAATCCAGAAAGAAAAATCTCAATGGAGATTACAGAAACGAGGGTACAGTTGAAATCTGGGAGTAAATGAGAAGAGAAGAGAAGGAGAAGATGAGAAAATGGGGAAGGGAGAAGTATCGGTGCAAGGAAAAGATAGAGGGGTTTTACTTTGGAATATTTTCATTACTGTTGATTAAACAGACAGAAACATTTTATTAAAATAAAAACCGACCTAAACCCATCATTACCGTCGGTTATAACCGACAAAAAACATAGCGGCAAAAATCCCCCCAAAATTCCCTCTGAAAATTTTAAATTTTCCCCCAAAATTTTGTTACGATTTTAAAAAATAAAATAATAATTGTTTGGTTTAATAAATAAATAAATAATATGTATTAAAATAGAATATTTTTTAAAAATTAAATAAATAATTGTTTGGTTTAATAGATAATTTTTACACTTTTGGTTTAATAGATAATAATCCATGTAAAATATGCGATAAAGAAACAAAAAGACAATTGTACAATGAAAATGTCATCACACAAACTAAATATTGTCTAATCAATACTTGAAAAACATAAATAAAAATTTAGCACAAATTAATTTTCTCACTTCAAAATTTAGGCAAATTTAACGGAGATATGCATTCTATGAAACTTTTTTCAATGATCCAACCGTCAAACTTATTTGTACACACTCCGAGATTGCATACGTAAAAACATCGTAAAAAAAAATATTCAGAGATTACGTAATGGAATAAAAGTTTTCGACGGTTATAAATGAAAATTCACAATTTAACAGTTATTTTAGCTTCGATTTTAATGATTTTTTACAGCTACACTCCTCGACCCTATAAGAATGTAATGAATAAATTTGATCTTCAATTTAAAATATTTACACTAGTAGATACCACAAAATCTTATTTTATACTTAATGGAAGTATAACATTAACTCTAAGTATTTATTTAATCTACTATTTTGATGCGATACGCATTCTACGAAGCGTTTTTCAACGATCCAACCGTCAAACTTATTTGTACATACTCTATACGTAAAACATGACAAAAAACAAACATTAAAGAGATTAGGTAACAAAATAAAAAAATTTGACAGTTATAAACGAAAAATCACAATTTAACGGTTACTTTAGCTCCGATTTTCATGATTTTTTTACAGCTACACTCCTGGACTCTATAAGAATGCATTGAACAAATTTGATCTTTAATTTAAAATATTTATACTAGTTGATACCACAAAATCTTATTTTATACTTGATGGGGAAGTATAACATTAACTCTCTAAGTGTTTGTTTAATCTACCGTTTTGACTCGATATGCATTCTACGAAACTTTTTTCAACAATCCAATCATCAAACTTATTTGTGCACACTTCAAGATTGCATATGTAAAAAAATTGTAAAAACAAGCATTCATAGATTATATAACGGAACAAAAGTTTTCGACGGTTATAAACGAAAATTCACAATTTAATGGTTATTTTAGCTTCGATTTTAATGATTTTTTACAGCTACACTCCTTGACCCTATAGGAATGTAATGAATAAATTTGATCTTCAATTTAAAATATTTACACTAGTGGATACCACAAAATCTTATTTTATACTTAATGGAAGTATAACATTAACTCTAAGTGTTTATTTAATCTACTATTTTGATGCGATACGCATTCTATGAAGCGTTTTTCAACGATCCAACGTCAAACTTGTTTGTACACACTCCGAGATCGCATACGTAAAAAATCACAAAAAATAAATATTCAGAGATTATGTAACAAAACAAAAGTTTTCGAAGGTTATAAATGAAAAATCACAATTTAATGGTTATTTTAGCTCCGATTTTGATGATTTTTTATAGCTACACTCCTCAACCATATAAGAATGCATTGAACAAATTCGTTCTTCAAATTAAAATATTTACACTAGTGGATACAACAAAATCTTATTTTATACTTGATGGGGAAATATAACATTAACTCGAAGTGTTGGTTTAATCTACCATTTTGATATGATACGCATTCTACGAAACATTTTTCAACGATCCAACCGTCAAACTTGTTTGTACACACTCCAAGATTGCATACGTAAAAAATTACAAAAAACAAACATTCAGAGATTAGGTAACGGAATAAAAGTTTTCGATGGTTATAATAAAATTTTCATTTCTGTCGGTTATAACCGCTAGAATACTAAAATAATAACCGCCAGAAAGTAAAATAATAAAATAGTCAATATTTGTCGGTTATACTCGCCACCATTAACATAAAAACCGACAGAATCTGTCAAAAATATTAAAAAAAAAATCAAAAAATACTATTGGTTATATCCGACAGTTTTTTTTTTTGATATCTGCCACTAAATATCCGTCAGGAAGTTATGTCGGATATAACCGACATCATGTTTCTAATATCTGTCACTAATTAAATGATGTGTCGGATATAATTTATCCGACATGATTTTTTTAATATCCGTCACCATCATCCGTCATCTAAAGCTAATATTGTAGTAGTGTAAGTAGGTAGGAACATTTTTGGGAGGAAATATATTTTTGTGAGTTGACTTTTAGAAATGATTGTATTCCATTGATTAGTTTCTTAACCAACAAGTAATGGTTTAACTTTCATTCCCTAACTTTTTCCATTGCATGAATGAAATAGTTTCTTACCAGATGAAACTGAAGAGAGCAAAGTACTAAGCATGTTGAATGATACAGCTTGTGGAGAGATTGTGGCCACAAAAGTTAAATGCCACGACATTTTGGCACGTTGATGTAGCACTAGTAGTCTAGCACATAGAAATTCCTATATTTACAATTCTTTATCAGGTGGTGGAATTGAACGTGAAACCTTTCTCTTTCAGTATTAAGAGCCAAAGTACTATTAAGCTAAGAGCTAGTTGATCAAAGATGATTCAGACATAAAAAAAAATGCTATATAGGCACTTCGACATAATATTTCCAATGATCAAAGATGACATGGATTGCCCTCGGCCTCTATTTCTTAAACAATCTAAAAGCTGAAGATATAAAACTTCTAATATGTACCTAATGCGTTTTATGGTGTAGTGGATCAACTAAAATATTAGCCCTGCACTAATTAGGTCATGCTTTTTAGGGATTTTAGGTTTATGATCCAAACCCTAATGGTTAAGTTCATGTCCTCAATTTAAAACCTTTTGAACAACAAGCGGTTTCTGTACTTAAAACATATTATCCACTTAATTGTCTAACAAGATAACAGCACCAAGACAGTGTTAATTCAAAGCCATTAAGTTAAGCTTAATGGAGATGACGATACTAGTAACTACTTACCAAATTTAGGCCATGTATTTTCAGTGCTATCTGTAAGACCATTAATCTATGTGCTCAAGGAATTGAAAGTTCTGGTGAATAATATATAAGGCACATGAAGCTTAATGATCGTACATTAAGAGGTGGTTTGGGAGTGAGGTGCTTAAAAAAAAAGCACCTATGAAAAAAAGCTGTGAGGGTTTTAGGTGTTTGGTAAACTAAAAAAAAAAGGTTTATTTTGGAAGCTGTTGTGAGAATAAGTTGAAATCAAAGGAAAAAGCTGAAGCTGCTATTTGCAGCTTTGGAAAACTGGCTTTTTTTCAAAGCACACGGAGCTACAATGCTCCTTTAATGAAAAGACCCACTATCAGACTACTTTTTTTTTCCAAAAGCATTTTTACAAAAAAGTTTACCAAACACTCTGCTGCTTTATTTCACAGCCGCTTATTCTCACAGCACAGCCACTTATTCTCACAGCAGCTTTTTTTCAAAGCACAACAATACTAAACCAGCCCTAAGGCAAACCACTAAGCGCTTCAATTTAGTCTGAACCGCCCTAATTCCGTTGTTCTTGTGAGCCCTTGCCAACATGGTGAGTGAAAATGATGTGTTAGTGTCGAATGGGGGATCAATGTAGCTGATGGGACAAACAATGCATCTGTTCCAGAATCCGGGCTAGTCGACAAGGCGTTGCTAGGGTTGAAGGGTATGGTTGGAGGATTGGTGCTGAAAGTTTGGAGGTTTTTAGTGAAGGCATGGAAGTTAGGAGTTGATGAGCCCAGAAAGGCGATCCATGCTCTCAAAGTAGGGTTGGCTATTTCAGTTGTGTTGCTTTTTTACTACATGAGGTCTTTGTATGAAGGTGTAGGTGGGAACGCAGTGTGGGCGGATATGACTGTTGTGGTAGTTTTTGAATCAACTGTTGGTGAGTAAAACTGTAAAAAACCAATTTTTTTATTACCAAATAGGGAGTAATTTCCGGTCAACTCTCTTTACTTATGTCCCTTGATTCACCCTTAACTTGATAAAATAAAAAAAAATAAAAAAAAAATAAAAAAAAAACGTTAGGAAGTCTCTTCCCGTACAAAATTTGTCACAGCATCAAGTTAAAGTGAAAAAAAAAGTAACCAATTGGCCATTTCATTGCAGGTGCTACACTATACAAAAGCATAAATAGAGCAGCAGGAACTTTTCTTGCAGGATCACTTGGCTTGGGTGTCCATTGGATTTCTTGCAAGGCAGGACAAAATTTTGAGCCCATAATTATTGGAACCTCAGTTTTCCTCCTAGGTATGTGCATCTGCTGTTCTAAATTCATTTCGCTGGTGTTTCGCTCGAGTTAAACAATACTTATGTGGTGCTCACTTTTGCAGCTTCGGCAGCCACCTTCTCTCGCTTCATCCTCACCTTCAGCTTAGTTTCGATTTCCGGATATCGCGTGGAAGAGTTGTTCGAGTTAGCTTACCATAGACTGCTCACTGTTGGCATTGGGACCTTCTTTTGCATTCTAATTAGCATTCTCTTTTATCCCAATTGGGCTGGTCAGCAGCTCCACTGTTTGATCTATAATAACCTGGAGAAACTGGCTGATTCCTTGGATGGTGCCTGTTTCGGACTGCTTCTGAAAAGGCTAAAAACATCTTCTACCAACTAAAAGTTCTTTTGACAGCATTTGGTAGAAAAACTTAAAACCGCTTCTTGGTCATAGAAGCATTTTGTGGACAAGCACCTGCTAGATGCTTCTTAAAGAAGCACTCCCAAGTGCTTTTACAAGTAATATTTGGATTTACAGAAGCAGTCCTAAACGAGCTCTAATTATCCTTTTCTTTACCCCCGGCAGAATCTAAAGTATTAGTAATGACAATATTTTGCAGGATATGTGCTGGAGTACTTCAAAGACAATGAAGCTGTGACTGAAGACAATTGTTCTACTAAGCAAATCAAGGGGTATAAATGTGTGCTCGATTCGAAGGCAACAGAAGACAATTTGGTATGCCATCGTGTTACATGGGATCGATAGGCGACGAGATTGATTTGCTGATTTTTCTTTCCCATGGGGTCATTCGATTTTGCAGGATAAATTTGCAAGATGGGAGCCTGCACATGGAAGTTTCAACTTCAAACATCCATGGAAACAGTACCTCAAGATTGGCGCATCGATGCGCAGTTGTGCTTACTGCGTCAAGGCTCTCAGCGCTTGTATGGAGTCGGAAATTAAGGTTGGCGTTTTACATCAAACATATTATCTCTGTTAAGATTATGTAGTTTTAAGTTGCATATTGTTTATGGGCAGACGCCGGCTAGAATCGGAAACCTAAAGAAGCATTTCAGCAATGCCTGTAAGACAACAAACATACATTCTTCAGACATCTTGACAGAAATGGTGAAAACAATTAAAACCATGAAAAAATCATCTGAGATTGACTCATTGGTTTGGGAGATGAACAAAGCAGTGCAGGAGCTTCAAAAATCTTTGAAATCTGTGCCTATCTGGCTTGTTTTACCGACATCAGAAGCAACCGATGATGATGGCAAAGGAGAACCCATCGTAGCACCACTGGTGGAGGTTCTTCCGGTGACCACATTGGTGTCTTTGCTGATTGAAAATGCAGCAAGAATCAGTGGAATTGTTGATGCAGTCAATGAGCTTGCAGGCCAGGCAGATATGAAGCCTGCACCCCAAGGAAATAAAACGCAACACCAGACCGGTGACAAGCCCTCTGCAGGAGAGAAACTTCCATTCAACGGGAATGTCACTGTGACAGTTCCCCATGCCAATTGCGCATTGCCGTATGGTACCTAAGATTATGAAGCCAATAGAGGCCCTTCGAAAAATCTGTGTTACAGAGTGCTGCTTCTATTAACTGTGTATATGTACAGAAAACAAGTCCGTTTGAACAGTTGATTTTGCGATTGCGATTTACCAATAATGCGCAACTAATTTGAAACGTTCTCGATTTGGTTGAAAATTATTTTCCAATTTTCTTTCTCGATTTTAAAAAACAACGGATGGAAGAGTGAAAGATGACTATTTTGGAGTGAAAAATCGAACAGTAGCATCGATTACGGACACCAGATAAGTACTGCTTTCATTCATTCCATGCATGAATTATAAGACACTATTATGTGAGTTTCAAATGAGTTGTAAAACCCACATCAGTATTTCAGTCATTAACGTCGACAAATGCTTATTCAACGGCACTTGACTTGCACAAGAACCATGTTCAATCACCTGGTAATCTGTGTAAGAGAGGAATCGGAATCATCGTCCTCACTCACTTCCTCCTCATGGTCACTGCCCCAACCCAAGTTCACGGCCAAATCCTCCACGGCGACCTTGATCACATCAGTTCGAACGCCAATATCAGTTGCATACCTGCTCATACAGTACATCCCAGCTGTTACAGTAGCCACACCAACCGGGCTTGGCATCAACAACTTCAGAGGAGAAGAAAGAATGGCTGCCAATGGGGCACCAATAATAGAAGAAGCTTGACCACTACTTCCCACACCTTGCTTGTCTATTACCAAGAGACCGGTTTTGCAATACATAGCAAAATCCTCGCAGTTGTTTTGAAAAATATCGTAGTTGCCAAATCCGTTTTGAAGAAGATACATGGCACGTTGGACAACCGTTTCTGATGGGTCGGATGCTGCAGTGGTGCATGTGCCACCCCGTACTTTTGCAAGGAAAACTGAAGGGCTAACCCCATATTCAAAGCAGTAAAGAGATCCATTTTTCAGGAAGCAGTCCAGGCACGAGAGGACAACACCACTGTTGGGTTGCCGGAATCCACAGTCAGGAGTGGTGGGACAGGACATTGAATCATAAACATCAGATGATGATTCAGTGCTGGAGTTCAAATTTCTTTTGGGTCTAAAATGGACCACCTTGCTTCCCCCAAGATAAATACCTGCATCATGTCATTTTCAACACAGCTCGTGGTTAAACTCGATCCAAACATGAGAGTAACGCGAGAGAGAAATAAGTTCAAATGAACTAAGCACTGTATGATTTGAGCAATTCAAAATTGGACTTTATCTGACAGAATGAACAAAACTGAAAATTGCAATGGGAAGAACAAAATCAGGGGAAATAAATCGTTTAGCAGGTGCTAAAGATAATGACGAGAGAAAACTTTATGTTGAAGTTTTCTACGACATTCCGTTACGCAGGTTAAATCAAACCACCTAAATGTGAAGTTCACGGCACAGATGCAGACATATTCTTCATATAATACGTCCAAGTACATTTTAGTACATTTTGCAAATCCATAGCATGTTGTAACTTGTGATGAGACATCTTAGTTAAATCGGAAGAATAAATGTGTTTATTCTAGCAATCGGGGAACTTATATGACAACATTGATTTAGGAATTCAGTTTTCGAGTCCAAGTTACGGTTGAATACTGCAAGTCAGCAATGTTAATAGGTTACGAACAACAGAAAAAAGGAAGGGGAAACACATTCTACTTCCTCAAGTTCAACAAGAGAAGGCACAAATACTTCGGTCGATTTCTGTTTTCCTGTGTTGAGCCATACAAACCATCCAATAAACAATATCCGAAACAGAAGTTAGTGCTTAAAACGACTTCATAAGCGAATTTGATGACTCAACAAGGTTAAGAAAAGGTAGAAAATTAAAAGAAGTGAACTTTGAACCTCCTGGTGGCTATGGAGTCATGTCTTGTACGGGTAAGAGAAACTAGTCATCTGTAATCATCATGCCGAAATAATCAGCAGAGATCAAGGGTAGAAAAATTCAGTTACATCACATCACAGAACGATTATCCGTGTAATCGAACGATTTGAAGAACTACTCAACAAATTCAAACAAAAAGTCAACACGTATTTGATTTAGAAATCAAGGGTGATCTAAGCAATCAATTAGAAGAAAATTACTTCTATCTGAACTGTAACAATTTCTTTTATTTTGACTGCAAGAAGTCAACAAGTATTTGTTTTTTGGACTGCAAGAAATCAAGGAATCCACAACCATAAACTTGCAGGCAAAGAAACTTGAAATTCAAGGAAACAAGATGCAATAATTCAGCTGAGAATTGAACCCAGAAATTAGAATTAAACGAACAAATGGAAGAAATGCAAGAAACCCAGAAATCCCATCACTCCATGAACCCACATTGTGTAATTCTTCAAGAAGAATATATATAATCAAGAATTAAATACCCAGAAAACTAAATGAAATAAAAACAAGGAAAAGAGAGAGAGGGAGAGAGAACCATGGTGAGAGTAGGCGAATACAGCTCTGTATGTGTAGATGTGGTCTCCTGGCTTGATCTCATTTCTCTCAACTCTGTTCGTCAGCAAACCCATCTCTCTCTAGAGTGCTTCTGGCTTTCTGCGGCTCTCTGCAATTACACCATAAGCAAAGCAAACCGCTTGCAACGTAAAAATTGACTCTACAAAAAAATGCAGATAGATTGACTGACTGGACTGACCCACAAACGCCAAAGGATGAAAATTGGAGAGTCTATATAAAAGATTACATTAAATTACATTAAAAATTAATACAAAAATTAATGGGTGCGGCAGAAAAGGATTGGCTCACCAAAGAAGCAGTTTAGCGACCTTTACCAATTTTTATATAATTTATACAACATTAATATGAAGTATTTTCCGATTTTAATTTTCTGGGTCAGAATAATCATGACCAACTTTGATGATGAAATTGAAATGGAGGATGATGACCCCCCTTTGTTTCCTTCTCTTGTTTTTGTTCTTAGCTTTCTTTAGAGAGACAAGTGGAAATTGCAAGAGAATAAAGGGAGGCTCCACTTCATAATTTTGTTCCTGTCATTATCTTTTTCTTTTGTCACCTTTCACTAATCAATTTCCTGTAATTTTGTGGGGTTTTTTTCTTCGAGTTTTTTATGCAATAGTCACACAATCACGTGGTGTTGTAGCTTTATTTTATTTTAGTTTTGGTCAAATGATAGATTTGTTAGAATAGGGAGTTGACGGAGTTCGAACTCACGATGTGGTTCAATAGCAACACTTCTCTCAATCACTGTAATAGAGAGCCACTTGCTGTTGTGGCTTTACTTACAAGTGAAAATTATTTTTCTATATATATTTATATTTATTTACGTTAAAATTCTCATTACTTTATCACAATATTACCGTTACACTCAACGGTTTCTTGTTTTAAATTTGTTCCTTTAGCAACGCAATTTATGGGGAAAAAAAAGGAAAAAGAAAGGAATGCCGAATGCTTTGGATTCTTTGCCATGATTTCACGTCATACGTGTTTCATGTTCATGATTTGTTTTTGCCACTTGGCTTTCTTTTATTTTCTCCTTTTTTTTGCCCTTTTCTGTTTTGCCGCTTGATAATAAGCTTAAATTAAAAAAAAAAATACAAAGTATTTACAATGATTAAATGCATTGTAATATAACGATTTTTAAATGAATCAATTCATGAATTTATTCTATATTTATTTCCATACAAATACAAATTTGAATTATTTTCAAACTAATACAACACCCGAAACTTATATCCAGTAATTATGGCACGTAATTCTAAATTAATATTAATATACATTAAAGAATGTTACAAGAAGCTAAGAATCAATCTAATTAATTATCTAAGAAGACGTTCCAGTTGTATACTTTGACGTCAAAATTTGAATCTTGTTCCAGCAAGAGCCTTAGTTCCTTTGCCTGCTTGGCATCCTTGGCAAGCAACAAGGCAAAGCCTCCGCCTCCGGCACCCACGAGCTTGTAGCCGGAGCAGTACTGGTGTGCGAATCTGAAGAGTTGATCCACAAACTCGTTACTGCAGTAAGGGTCGAGTTCTTGATGCAGCCTCCAAGCCTCTAGCATTATCTCCCCAAGGTCGTCTATGTCACAGTTCATCAACGCTTCTCTCCCAATCTTGGCCAGTTCAGCGAGGCGCTTGATGCTCGATATAAGAAGGTTGTCCCTTCGGAGGTAGCGGGTTACCACCTTTTGCAAGACTTGGTGTGCAAGTCGAACCTGCACGAATATCACATTTACATTATTTCATATTATGCAAATACAGACGTGTTTTCTTTGAGAACATGAGATGCATGAGCTTGGACATGAAGAATAAAGCAACATCAGGGTCCAGTAACTAAAGTGCGTCTCTGTAGAACAAGACTCTGCAATCGTTAACTTGACCAGCAAGCTTCTACGCTTTTCATGATTGAACACACGATTATGTAGTGCCATGTTTTATTGTTATTTACTTATTGCAGGCAAGAAGAATTATGCATTATCTAAAGTTGAAATTGAAAGGATGCCACATACTTGACCGGTAAAAACCACAAGCAAGCGTTGCTGCAACTCTGAAATTAACGGTGGGGAAGCCAAGAGTGGGACGACTTGTAGTCGCAATGGGATACCAGGAAAACTTGAAGTACATTTAATACCCGGGTAGAGACCCCCAATCTGATCCTGCCAACCACCACCTGTCCCCATGAGCTGTTCTAATACAAGAACAAGTCTCGCAACATTTTCATTACTTTCATCTCCATCGGTAATCTGAAGAAGTCCTTTCACAACTGCAGCTGCTAAGATGCTAGAAGTCCCCAAGCCACTTCCACGAGGTACGCAAGCCCATGTCCTGATCTGCAGACCCCTGGATGCAAGAGCATTTTCGTGAATAATGCCAGTCACAAGCAGTGCGGATTTGACAAGCCGAAATGGATCGTTGTCATCAAATGGTGTGGCAATTGAGGTTAGGTCCTTAATGTGTAACTCATTTCCACCATCATCACTAATACAGACACCAGTTTTTTTCGTTGTCTCGATGATGGTGCCAATTGGAAGAGAACCTTCCAAACTTATTGCCATATTCAGAACACAACCAGAGCGCTCCAAGCTCCATGGAGGAGTGTCACTCCAACCCCCAACAAAATCCACACGAACTGGTAATTCAACCTTCACCTTTCTGGGGTGGAATGAATGATCCACACAGCCGTCGAAATCATTGTTCTTATGGGACAGAATAGAGATATCGCTGGGAGTCTCATAGAGATGTTCTACAGACCATAGATAAAAAATAAAAAATAAATAAAAAAAAAAGCATTTTGTAAATTTCTGGTCCTTTAAAGACCACAGAACGATCAGACAAGAAACATGAGATCCAAAATGAGTACTATCTTGATTTTAAAATGTGGATGAGATTACTAAGAATTATGCCATTATTGAGATACGAATAATTGACTCTACCTTTAAAACCATATTTTACAGCTGAAGCTGTTTCATCAGCAACTGCATTCCAAACTTTGTGCTCCAACTTACGTGCTGTTGTTTCATTGCTGCATGCTCGAAGAAGATCAACTTGAACCTGGAATGCTCGGCTTTTGGGAATGATCTTAGAGTTCTGCTCCAGGAGTCCGGGACAAAGACTTAGAAATTCCTCACATACTTTGACTCCTAAATCTTCCTTTTGCAGAACTTCTTCACACAACTGATATAAATTGCGGCCCAACATCCCATAATTAATGCATGCTTTAGCGATTCCAGCTGCAAGGTCTGCTTGATGATCAATTGAACCATGACACATCTTTGAAAAATCAATTGATCTATGCAACTCCTCTAAACTAACACGAGGTGAACTTCTCCACAGAGAAAGCAAATGCTCAGAATTTTCATCACTCAAGCCCATCAACCACGATGCCAAAGTTAGCATCTCAAAGTAAGAAAGAATGGGGAATATTTTTGAATTCCACAAACACTTTTCATGAGTACCCATTGAGCTCCATAGATCATTTTCTTGGATTCCTAAATCTTGCACAACCTTCCTCCAGGGTTTCCCACAAAAAGTGCCATCCTTAGAGAGTGAAACCTTGGGGTTATCATGAAGGCCACAATATACTATGACTCTTCCAGTGTGTCCGACTAGAGGAACCTCCCAAAGACAATGGCGATCCGGAAGTATGAATCTAAATGAATTTTCTGCAGCACTACTATTTACTTCTGGAACATTGATACCAACAACTATGGACAGAGAACCAACTTGCATTCCACTCGGAATGGTTGAATCATATATAAGAGAATCTTCCCCAATCGAGACAGCAGGTGCAATTTTACTAGAAAGAAGAACAGCGGATGCTGCAATGTCAGATAGAGTGCTTGCTGGGATAGAACACTGGTGTCTTCGACCGACCAGTCCCGAGGCAGCTCCACTCAGATGATCCAAAATCTCACTTGAAGTTCCAAAATGTAAGAACGACAAATCATCTGCAGTTAAAATCAAGAAGCAGAAATAATATAGGAAATAATAATCATATAAAAGAAAAAAAAAATTGAAAATGTTAAATATATGGATAATGGCATCAAGGTAACACATACAAGCGCAGTAGCTAAACATCTTCTGTTTTCCTAATCTGCTGACCAGTTCTTTGCCTGAAGGGCGCAGTCGCAACCAGTCATGCTTTGCAGGTACCCAAGCTGCTACAAGATCTTCATATAAGCTCATCTGTGAAAAATACAAGAACATTATTAAAAAGGGTAATGCTAGAGAGACAATCTATTTAAACCATATTTTGTAGACCATATGATGTGGTTGTTGATGATTGGATTATTACTTAACTATTGATTAACGTGCTTATTTCCTATTAGTGCCACATCACATAGTTTGTAAATTTGGTCTTAAAAATTGGTTTACCTAGCATTACTCTATTAAAAATTTAAAACCTTCCTAAAATCACTGAGAATTTCACACTTGGAGAAACCCGGTCCTATATATAGGATTTACTGCAAAGCCTACAATAAGAATCCAGTTGAATTTATATCATAAACTATACACTTGCAGGACGACATGCAATGAAAGCCCATCTAAATAGTAACTTACCTCCTTTCTGGTCTTCAGAAGCTCCGAAATCATTGGTTGGCAGGAACATGCAAGTATAACAAGCTCCTCCCACCCTTTACCTCTAACCGCTATTATTCCAGTGTCAAGAAGTGTTCTACCATCATCAAGAATTGCATTGTTCTTAACAAGTTCGTCTACGCTAGGTTTCTGTAAGAGATTATCAACAAAGCTGACAGGATAACTTTTTTCTACATTTCTTCTCTTAGATGCCACAACAACACCATGGTTAGACGCGATATCAAGGGTGATGGGAACAGTTATGATACAGGATGTGTCCTCTGGAAGCACCATGTTGGAGGCATCAAAACATGGAAGTACGTCTCCAGTCATAGTAAATATTCCACCTGCAAAGAATGAAACATCATTTATACATGATGCTTGGAGAGATGAACTCAGTGACATTAACCACAAGATACGGTGAATGTCATTCTAATATGACAGAACAAAATGAAAACCAAAATAAACAAATTAATTACAAATTCAACTTTCGAACTAGAATATATCTCAGAGAGCAATATTATCCATATTTCTTTCATGGAATCAAATGACCTTAGACACATTTCTCAACCCTGCCTGCTTAAGCACTCCTAAAAGAATTGGCCCCATATGATATAGTTAACTAGGGTTAAAAGACAGAATGTGAAAAGTTCATTGGACACCGACTACAAATTCTCATAACAAAGAGATGGCCAAGTCTCACTTATATTGCAATAGACGGAACAACTAACCTTCATTTTTAAAAGCTTGTCTTGCACAAGAAGCAATTGCAAGTATATGATCAAAAAGCAGCGGGACTGGCCCATCAGGGTCGTCAGCTGCCATATATGGAAGTGGCAGGAAAACTTTCCCCGTGGGATTTGCCCAGGGGACCCTTTTCGAATCACCACCAGCATGAAGCAATAATATATGCCTCTTGGCAATGAAGCTAACCATTTCCGAGAGATCATCATCCATTTCATTGCCAGTTGCATTTCGATTTGACTCCGAGAACCCAAAACCACCATTGCTTGTAGCTGCCACCTGCTTTTGAAATGAAACAGCTTACAGATACAAGCAAAAAAACTAGCCCACATCACAATTAGTGAAAATTTAGCCACTTGCTGATGACATTTAAGAGTAAAGTGGCCACCTTTCTTCTTCAATTTGCTGTAAATTTAACAGATTACATACCCTTTAGTGAAAATTAAGCTACCCAAATCATGTTTAGTGAAAATTTAAGCTAACCCACATCGCAATTTCACAAAGTTTCGTAAATTTAATCACAAATATCTACAATACAACCCAATTACCAAACTCAGAACAGTGTTACCTCTGAGTGTAGGCCCAACGCACGGTAATGCTTGGCGAGGGCGTGAATGGCGTGGAGAGTGGCGGCGCCGGAGCCGATGCGCTGGCCATGGGGGTCAGGCACAGCGAGTGTGATCGTGGAGGCGGCTATGCGGCCCGCCCGCTTGGCGCGAGTGAGCTGCCACTCGTAGAGCTCGGCCTGCTCGGGGCTAGCCGCCGTCAATACGACGGCGTCCCAAGTGGGAACCCGGGTCGGGTGCCTTACCGACAGCCTGAGGTGGTACCATGATTTCCGGAGCACAGCTGCCGCGTCAGCCTTCTGTTTGGATCGCGAGAATTTGGTTTCCATTTTCCGGGAATCTGAGAGAAAGCTTGAGAGGTGAGACTTTCAGATGTTGAATCTCTCAGTACGCTGATACTGATGGACCAATCATTTAACAGAAAAGCCGAACAGGTGTTATGATAATGTCGGGTCATCCGGCGGTGGGTCGTCGTCGATTTTGTCGGTAAAACAGCTGATAGAACGTCGTTTTTGTTTGTCAGTGTACGACACGTCGTATAACGAATATTGAAAAGGGCAAAAATGTTGGATGAGTTGTAAAAAGGAAATGGCTTCGCCCGGGTTCGAACCGGAGACCTTCAGTGTGTTAGACTGACGTGATAACCAACTACACCACGAAACCATTTTTTGTATTTTGGTCAATTTATTACCTATAAACTGGCATAAAAATATAAGTAACATTTAGATCTTCATTTAATTATATTTCCATGTCTTAATTTTCTAGTCATAACCTTAAATGTTTAATATTTAATTATAATAGGGGTGTGCCACACACCCATTGTTAATTTCTATCCATTGATCTAAAACAATTCATCCGATCCGACGGTCGAAAACAAAAAAAGTGTGGGAAAAGTAAAAAGGGATGTGTGGATATCACACTCCTTAGAATAATGTGCTCCTCTCTCTATACTCAAGTTTGAATTCTTTATTTGTAACTTAAACAAATTTATTAATGTGAAATATCAATTTGTCCCAAAAAAAAAAATTTGACCAATTAATTTTTATGTAAGTTTGAATAAAACATAGTATCAACATCGGTAAAAAAAAAATTTAGTCACAGAGTTAATTATTATTTTTTTTTACCAAACGATATTAATTACATTAAGAGATGGGAAGTAGGTCAAGCCTAATAAGTCCGTCATAATAATGTGGTTTAAATTCGCCTTTGGTTTCAGTTAATTTTAAATAAAAATAATAATCAATTTTTGATAAAAATTAGCCATATTCTTTTAACTGCAATAATTTCTCATAATCTTCTATATCGTGGGTTGTTTAGAAGATAAATTGTAGATGGTTTTCATTATGAGATGTACCCTCTAGATGATGTCATTTGTCACCGTTATCAAATTTTTTGTGTGGTACTATTTATATACTATTTTTACTTTTTACATATTTCTCTTAATTTTTAAGTATCGGATCGAATAAATTAAAAAATATTAATAGACAAAAGCCAGTATGAATAGCACAAACTATTTTTCTACACAAATCTATTTACTTAATTTTTCTTTAAAAAAGAAAAGATATAAAACAGCAAAAAATGAACCATCCACACACGCGTGTGTTCTGAGCTTGAATTTCGCGCGTCCCCAAAAATGAAAATCCCCCGTACCCGCTCTCCCCTCTCTCTCTCTCTCTCTCTCTCTCTCTCTCTCTCTCTCTCAAATTCCAACCCCATTTTCTTCTCGCTTTTTTCTCCCATTTTTCCTCTGTTCAGATTTTGCGGTCCCTCCATCTCTCAACCCCCCGCCCAACGGTCGAATTTTGCTCTGCTACCGCCTTCGTCTTCTCCTTCTGGTGAATCCTAATGTCCGATCTCCACCGCCGCTTCTGACCCCCTCTCGGCCACTTGGGTTCACTTCAGGGATGGCTTTCGCCAAGTGGGTCGCGACGATATTGGCGTAGAGAATGACAAAACCGCGTTGCATGGAACTTGGGGTTTTGAACTCAGCCGGTTCATTGGTTCCATCCGCCGCCGTCGAATGCCGATTCTGCTTCCAATCGGCATTCGATTTCTTCTGCATCGCTTCTGAAGCATTCTATGAGCTGTTGCTGGGTCGTCGTTTTTTTTTTTTTTTGACCCAATCAACGGCGATTGCTCTCTTTAGCTGAATGAGAGAAGAATACATTTTCCAAATTAGAAAATTTGACCCGCTAAATTATTTGCTAGAAGAAAAAAACATATAAAAAAGAAAAAGAAAAAGTCCTTGTCTTTCTGGTGTGGTAGCAGTTTGGTTCTTGGCAGGAAATGAATTCAGGGGTCGGATTGGTATCGCCAGCAAGTAATGGGATGTTTCCAGTGGCGAAGCTCCTCGATGAATAGGTCGATTTTGTAGAGAAGGACCCAAGCAATCGATATGTTCGGGTAATATCACAACTTGCACTTGCATTTTGGATTGGACGTGTTATGGAATGTGGAATAAGGATTGTGTTCAAGCTGCAATTTTAGTTCTTGTTTGTTTTCCATATTTTTATATGGTTTCGATATGTTGAATTTCGTGTAGTAATGGGTCACATTTTGATGGAAAGGTTCAATTTTGTTGAATAGATTGTACATTTTGTAACTTTGTTGCTTTTGTTTTAGTGACTGATTAATTTTGTTGTTTCAAATGAATTGGTATCAGATTGTATATGTGAGTGCAAGATTGTTCATCAGATTAAGCAGCTAGCTTTCGAGCCGATTTAGATAGGAAACAAATGAATTGTTATTTTTTGTTACAACTGAGAAGATTGTGTTTCCCCTTCCATTCAGTCTTTTATTTCTCCTTTAATTCATTTTTTTTTCTTATTTTCTGGTAACAGTACAATGAAATATTGGGCAAAGGTGCCTTCAAGACTGTGTATGGTTCTGAGACCTTTCTCTTTGTAGTTTTTTTTTTTCTTCACTTTTGTTTTCCGGATTTCGTTATTTTTAGGAACAACAGTTTTGTTAAATTTAAGAATTATCATTAATTTTTTAAATTTTGGGCATCTCATTCATTATTTGCAGCTACAAGGCATTCGATGAAGTTGATGGAATAGAAGTGGCTTGGAGCCGGGTGAAGGTTGATGCTGTCTTGCGATCACCAGAAGATTTGGAAAAATTGTATTCTGAAGTTCATCTTCTGAAATCACTGAAACATGAAAATATTATTAAGTTCCATAATTCATGGGTGGATGATCAGAAAAATACGATTAACATGATTACGGAGCTCTTCACATCTGGAGCTCTTCACATCTGAAGTTCTATTGATTCCTTCTCATTCTGTCTTTGTATCGTTTATCTGCATTATATGAAATCAAACTAATTGCGCACGTTTTGGTTATTAGATATCGTAAGAAGCATAAAAATGTGGATACAAAGGCCATAAGGAACTGGGCAAGGCAGATTCTCCGAGGTTTAGCCTTTCTCCACAGTCATAGCCCCCCTATCATTCATAGAGACTTAAAATGTGACAATATTTTCATTAATGGAAATCATGGAGAAGTTAAAATCGGAGACCTTGGATTGGCAACTGTTATGCAGCAGCCTACTGCTCGCAGTGTGATTGGTAAGAAATCTAGGACATCAGATGTTATCTCTTGATTAAACCGTCTAAACAAGTACTGAAACTTTTTCTTTTCTCTACGTAAGGGACTCCCGAGTTTATGGCTCCAGAGCTCTATGAGGAGGAATATAATGAGCTCGTTGACATATACTCCTTCGGAATGTGCATGTTAGAGATGATTACTTTTGAGTATCCATATAGTGAATGCAAAAGTCCTGCTCAAATATTTACGAAGGTTACCTCTGTAAGTGAGGAATCATCGGAATATCATCATTCCTTCTGCTGGCTGTTTAAAGTAGAATCACTCAGTTCCACAGGAATCTTATTTCTGGTATGTTCTTTTGCAGGGCATTAAACCTGCAGCCCTTGGGAAGGTGAATGACCCCCAAATCAAAGAGTTCGTTGAAAAATGTCTGGTTCCAGCATCCGAGAGATGCATTCCTTCAAGTTGACAATCCAAAGGAACCAATCCGTGATCCCTTACAGTTGCCTAACCAGAGTCTGAAAGCAACAAATTTACCAAAGTCTGGGCCTCTATCCATGGACATAGATACTGACTACAAGCAGCTATCTATAAGCACATGTACAGGAAGCAACAATGGGAGTCCACAGGTTCTGGAATTTCAAAGGACACATAAGAACAACGAGTTCAGGTTGAGCGGGATAAAAAATGATGACGATTCAGTATCATTGACTTTGCGTATAGCTGATGCATGTGGTAAGTATGCAAACTGGGAAATTGGATATACAATTATGTCTATTATTGTTATTCCTGTCAGGAATGTAATAGCATGACTTTTCTGTATCTTACAGGTAAGGTGAGGAATATACATTTTCTCTTTTACATTGCTAGTGATACTGCAGCGTCTGTGGCGAGGGAGATGGTTGAACAACTGGAATTAGCTGATCATGATGTGGCTTTCATTGCTGAGTTTATCGATTACTTGATAAGGAAACTTCTACCTGGTTGGAAGCCCTCATCTGATTATTCCTCAAGTGGTCCAGCGAGTCTTTGTGGCGGATCCTTAGTCCGTAAAAATGGAAAACCATCATTGTCAAGCCTGTGGGGTTCGGTGCTATTTGGTGCTCCTGATGGTTTGATGGTAGAGCAAGATGGTAGCTCCTGTGATAACCCTGATACCATCAATTTTAATGGTGGAATTACCTCTTACCAAAGCTTTGCTGATGAATCTGTTAATTGCAATACTTCTGAGCTAGAGCCAAGGTATTCATATTTCGATGACCGCAAGTTACAGAGCAATTATGCTAGCAATGAAGGAGGAGGCTTCCCAGTGAATGGGATCATAAAGAAGTTGCAGTTTCCGTTGCATGGGCACGATTTATCAAAAGATATGAGCTTGACAAGCAGCTGTTATTCTCCATCTTTGGTAGATTCAAAAGATATGAATCTGGATGCCGATTCAAAGTTGGAACTCGAAATGATTGAGTCACAGTACCAGCGGTGGTTCCAGGAACTTTCAAGGATGAGGGAGAAAGCATTGGAAATGACCAGAAAGAGATGGATAGAAAAGAAGAAAGTGGCTGTTGGCTAATTTAGAGCCCTACTGAACCCAATTTTTTTTCTGACTCTTTTCCCTTGTATATTGTTGACTGGTAACTCTATTTAAGCGTCGACATGATGTTTAACCCTTGGATCGGATGCGGCTCACTTTTTTCAGCAGCCGCGATCATTCTCGGGACTAAATTTTATGCTGATATATCCTGTTACTTTTGTTTGCTAATGCATCCTCAGCTTCTTTTTGCAGATCGATGATCACAACTGATAACATAATGCTTCGGGTTTGTCAGCTATTCTAACAAGTATAGCTGAAAAATACCAAACCGCATTCGATCAATAGCATATTTCACAAGGTTGACATAGCTTGAGATCACGCATGTTGAATTCAAGAGAAGCACCAAGAAACGTAAACAAGCCTCTAACCACAAATCTCCCCCGCTCTCTGCAATTATTTTCGATTTCGAGATGTCATTACATTGTGCGTGCTTATAAACAACCACCAACAAATCACACTGGTTATTCAATGTGGATTTCAGAGGTTTTTAAATAACCTTTTTAAGTGACAGATTTCAAAGGATTGTATAATCCTTACAACTTTTTAAGGATTTTTATGGATTTTGATTGAAGATTTGAAAAGATTTGAAAGGATTCTTATGGACTTTGATTAGATATTTGAATGGATTTTGAGACTGTTCTCATTTAAAAATTATTCTTTAAATAAAAAATAAGTTTTTTTTTTTTGTTAGTACATCAATATTTTTACATTAAGAATTTTTATGGATTTTGATTGAAGATTTGAAAAGATTTGAAAGGATTCTTATGGACTTTGATTAAATATTTGAATGGATTTTGAGACTGTTCTCATTTAAAAATTATTCTTTAAATAAAAAATAAGTTTTCTTTTTGTTAGTACATCAATATTTTTACATTAAGAGGAGGGGAAGTTTGGTTAAGCCACACAATGGGTAGCCTAATTTGGTATCGAATTCGCTATTCACGAGATTCAAACCTAAAACCTCTTACTTCCAAGTGAAGAGGAATGTCATCAGACTATAGTACTGAGTGGCAAAATAAGATTAAACTTGAAAAAGTAATGAAGAACTGTGCCCAGTTCTCCCGAGTAACCCCAATCCTCCATGATCCTCCACCAACAGAAAAGTTCAAATACAAATTAAGCTCCCCATAGTCTACCTTCCACCATAATCATTCATGAAAGCAAGATTCAAAACGATTCTAGGGGTAGATAAAATGGTTGGGTTGAGGGCTTCTCGTGTATATTCAAGTCAAAATAATGAACTGACATATTTGGAATTAAGACCATGATATATCATATAATAATACCAAGTAAAAAGAAGAGAAGAGGGCAATTGAGTAGTTAAGAAATTGTATAATGGTCAAATTGAATCGAATTCTATAAACCAAAAGAATAATTTGTTTAAAAAAGAATAGAAAGCCGGCCAGGTGAGAGATCTCATTCAGGTCACCTTGGTGGGGTGGGGTGGGGTGGGTAGCTGAGATGCCAGAAGAAGGAAGGATGGAAGGATGGGTTTCTCAGAGAAAATGGAGAGTGAGAAAGAAAGGGACTTGGATTGTCTGCCCTCCTATTTCGGTGCCCTCCCCGTGCCCTCCTGTTTTGTGTGGTCACGGTTAAGTCACGTCAATATTTTATATTATTTTTTTATAAAAATATTAAAACAAAAAAAAATAGTAATATAAAATGTTGACGTGGCTTAACCGTGATCACAAAAACAGGAGGGCACGGAAAGGGCACCACAATTAGAGGGCAGACAATCCAAGTCCTAAAGAAAGCTCAAGCTGCAGAGTAGAGAGAGAAAGAAATCCTACGGGTAGATATAGAATTTTGTTATGCATTCCACCTATTCTCAAATCCTACAAAATCTCTCGATTAATGAAATCCTTTAAAATCTATGAATATTTGAATACCTAGAAATGTGCATGGACTTTATAAAAAAAATAATGTTAGAAATCTTACCGTTGGCCATGTGTCCATTTTTGAGTTATTGGATTTCAATTTTTTTGAAATCCAATGGTCCAAATTAATTAACTTAATAAAAAATTATAAAAATTGTTTTAAAATACAGAAAAAATAAAACGAATTATATATATATATATAAATACCTAACCATCCTTCACAAAAATTGTATTTTCGGATAATGACACGTGACATGACAAAATTAGTTAAAAATCCTATCCGAAATTAAAAATTAAATTATTTTTTTATTATTTTATAAAATAAAAAAATTAATAATATTTAAATACGTATTGACTAGGTTATTCAGTTTAGAAGTGGAGATGCACTTGGGCAGTTACTATTCACTGCAGTCAATTAGAATTCATTTGGGTGAATTGAATTGACTCTTGACTAGGGGTTTTGTAGAGGTGGAGTTGCTCTTATACAATATCACTTTTCTTATACAATACTAGTATATGTCCACACACAAAGTGGGTATGAAATTTTTTATTTTTTTATTTTAAAATTGAAAGAGAGAAGAAGAGAGTGAGAGAGAACTGTAGGTAAAGACTTGAACAACAAATAGCAAAATTTTGTTTTAGGAAATTACATTGATGCCCTTAACTTTTTGTTTTGATAGAAGATTAAATAGTCTTTTCCCTCTCTTTTGGTTGATAAAGAGAGTTTTATTAATATATAGTTTAGATACTAAATAATTAAATAATAAACTGCCTATTTGGTATCTAAATTATATTTGAATACAAATTAAGTTCGTAAAAAAATTGTCAATCCCTTCGTACTATAAGAACCAAAGCTCTAATGTCTAATTTTTCATCAATTGAAGACACTTTAACAACTAATACCATTATTTTGTTGCCCATAAACCTAAAATTGCATATACAGGGTTAACACCTCATATATACAATGTTACCTTGGGCATAAAGGAACAAAGGCCTGCAGTACAAGTAAAAGAATTACACATATTTCAGCCTTGCCACCCTTTTTTAATTTGTGGCCCCATCAGGTTTCTTTAGCTACCAAAATGTGGCGTGTCTCATGAGAATCGTGACTGCATCACTAAAAAATTAAAAACCCCGAAACCCTACCTCACCTTTGAGCAAGGTGCAAATCAAACCTCTCTCTCATATATATATATATATATGTTGTCCGTAGGAGAAAATTGAAATAGTCTTGCTTTTTGCTGTTTTTCTTTTGGTGGATGGGCATTCAGGTAAGAAACAACAATGCTTGACCGGTATGATTATTTCTTCCAGATTCTTCATTTTAATGAAGGATGGATTGGGACTCAACAGATATTAAAAGCCTACTTAATTAACAACCCTGTCTTAATCATCGCATTTGTTTATCCAATATATATCTTGCTTGGATTCCCTCCTCATTTGATAATTCTATATTATATAATTCATCTCAATAATTGATGCCTGCTTCAATGGTTTTGTAATTGTTCAATTGGGTGATTGTTTGGAGAAGATGATCAGCTTTGGCTTGGTGGTTAATATCAAGCTTAATTAGCAGTTAATTGCTATGTGACTTTAATTTCTTCCTGTTTTTGTAATTTTCTTGCAGCAATTAAATTAAAGTGATATATATTGCTGTTAAGCAAATCCTCCAATCAATGGCTGATTTAGCTGGGCCAAGGTTGTATGGCTGCTACAAGTGCCAGAATCACGTTTGCTGTCATGATGATATTGTCTCTAAAGCTTTTCAGGTGATCCAAGCACATGTGATTTCTCCTCCATATCTCTATTTACTATTATGCAGTTTACAGCAATTGTTCTGGTAATAAGGTCATTGCATCAGATTTAAGTGTGTCATTGCATTGAAAATCTGGTCTGGAGTGTTATATTTGATTATACAGAACATGAAGTTTCAGTTATGGAAATGTTTTTATTTGCCATAAATAGTATATACTATGTTATGTTGTCCGACTATTAATTGATTAGACGGATTCAATAGTTTGATAATTGATATGTCATGTCTTCAGGCTACCAATGAGCAGATGCATTATTAGTTAAATGCCTTTTGTTGATTCGTGAATTCTCGTTTAAATATATAGTTCAAAGAGAGAAACTTACCTACAACACTGATGTCATTGTGACGGTATCTCAAATTAATCACGTATGTACTAGAGTGTGGTAAAGTTAAAACGCATGACAGTACCAAAATGATGTATACACCACAATGATTTCCATATTGTAGGCAAGTCCTAATAGCCGGATAAGGCAACACAAATGATGAGAGTGGGTGGAGAAATGACTCACGATTAGGTTAGGTCTAGAGTTCAATTTTTCATGTTGTAAAAAAAAAAAAAAAAAAAAAGAGAGAGATAAAAACAGTAGTGGGACAAGACAAACATCATCTCATATAATTTATACACTATATATGGAGTACTTTGCAAATATTTGAAGATCTTTGTGCCATAACGTATACATATATATGATATGCTTTGCTTTGTTAGGCAAGCCGTGGCAGGGCCTTTCTGTTCTCCCATGCAACGAACGTGGTCGTAGGGCCTAAAGAGGATCGGCATCTGATCACAGGTCTCCACACAGTTGCTGATGTACACTGCTGTGATTGTGGGGAGGTATTAGGCTGGAAATATGTCAAGGCTTATGAGGAATTGCAGAAGTACAAAGAAGGAAAATTCGTTCTTGAAAAATTTAAGATTGTTAAGGTCAATTGGTAGCATATGTACTCATCAATTTGGGTTGTGAATGTACAAAGAAACTCTTAATTTCCAATTAGGATATGGTGGTATCCTTTTGTGAATAATGATAATGTTGACCTTTTATTCATGAACGAAAATTTTATTTGTTAGACGATTTGATGTATAAGTCAATTTGTAATCACGTTGACTTTTTATTCAGATTTGGTGGCGCCAACCCTAGCTTCGGTCGGGGCTGGTTAGCCATTCTCCTTTTCCTCTCTATCTCCTCTTCCTTCTTTCGGTTATGTTTTCCCATGCTCTCCATATCGATTTATCATTTTCTTCTTATTCCACTGGCGTCCCTCTTCTTTGTTACTCCGATCTGCAATCATGCTTTACTGAGATAAACCGTAGAACTTCGGTGCTTGCATAGACTTGGTGTTCTGAACACCACCACCTTCTCTCTGATTGCCTTTGCTAGCAATGTTGCTTGTGGGTTTCCACAAGCTTTTTTTCTTCTAGTAGCTGGATTTCTTTATTTGGTTGTTGGATTTCTTCAATTGTGGTTGCGTACCAAGTGGTGCTCGGGGTTGGATGCTACAGTCGGCGAGTCGATGTGAGATTGGAGGCGTAGAATTAGGCGGATCGAGATGTATTGTTGTAGCGGCGGCTGCAGTCGACTTATCGGCTTTCTTTAGTTTTTTCTGTTTTGGGCCCAAGCTATTGGTTAGGCTTTGCTTTGGTTTGATTGGCTGGTCCATTTTGCTTGTTTATGTAATTTTGTCTTTGGAATCTTTGGTTGTACAGTTTGTAAGTTTGCTTGTTTCTAGTGGTAATATTATTATCTTTTTACCTAAAGAAAAAAAAGCTAGGTGCATCGGTTCTTGATGGGGACGAGAAGATGGTGACCATAGCCTTTTTCTTATTGACTTTCCCCCTCCCTTTTTATTTTGGTCCAACTTTCCCCCTCCCCTTACGCATATGAAATTAAAGCATGCTCCAAGAACAAAGGACTTGTCTGTATCGGTTGTAAGAGATGTGAATTCATCTATCCGACATATTTCTTAAGTGTTAAAGTTTATTTATGATATGAAATAGCTCCAAGTATGGGTCTAGCTTATTAATACATTCCAGAAAATCCTACTTGAATACATTTGATTCTTTTACCTTTATCGACAAAAACCCGTGCTCAAAATCTATTTATTTTGAGCATGTAACATGGATTTCTTAGTCGAGTCCGATGGTTTAATAGGGCAAAGGGATAATCATAAGACTTTAAGCGTATCTGGGGCCCTTAAAGAAATTAAAAATGGTACTAAATTAACCGATAAAGAGGCAGAACTAACAACTGCCGTAATGAATTTAAACTAGAGATGGAAATAGTCACTCACTGAATACATATTTATTAAAGAAGACTGAGCAAGTTCTAAAGTTGAAAGATGAAGGCAGCAAGGCGAAAGGAACAAGGATTGTTTGTCTATTGAGAGTTTTCTAATCAAGTAATCAATTCTTTCTTTGTTAGGAATACCTTTATTAATGAGCTTGTTTGATACAATTTTATTTTTTGTTTCTAGTTTTCTTCTTTTGTATTTTAGATATGAGAAATGTGTATGGGGTGAAATGAGGGATGAAGAATGTGGTGGGAGAGGAAAAAAGAAATAAAGAGATTAATGAAATAAATTTTGGAAGTGAAAACAATTTCAAATAATTTTGGTTTGTAGTAGGGGAAGTAGTAAGGGTGCTGAGTCAAACCGACTATCGAGATGATCAAGCTCGGGTCAGATAATATTAATAGTGCTCAAGCTCATAACCACAAGCTCAAGCTCAGATCAAATAATTGTTTCAAGTTCTAGTTGGGCTCGACTCTAACTTTCAAGTTCAAGCTTGGCTTGGCTTGGCTTGTAAACTAAATATGAACTTTTATATGGCTTTGCTCAACTCAGTTCTCTGGACAAGCTTGAACAGTTCGACTTAATTCTTATTAACACCTAAAATAATAAACTCATTTTCAGAATTTAGCCCAATGATTTTTTTTTCTTTCAGTTTTGAAAATTTCCATAAATTTGAACACTCAATCTTACTGATACAAAGAGGAAAAAAAATACAATCGGATGCTTAGCTACTAGTAGTATCCGAGCCAGATCTTAATCAAGTAGATCTTGCAACTTTCTCGTATTCCCTATTTTGGCATTAGAATGTTTTGACCCTTGAATGGATTTCTTGATTCAACATTGAGCCGACCCTGCTTTCCTCTCATGCGACAAAAACTTGTTTCCCAACTTCGAACTCCCATTTTATCGTTGATGACGGCTCTATTCAATGCTAGCAACCGCATTTAATTCTTTCCGCCATTTTTTTTCAATTTTCTTACATTCTAGCTCCTCTCCCGCGACAAAAACTTGTTTCCCAAGTTCAAACTCCCATTTTATCGTTGATGATTGCTCTATTCAATGCTAGCAACCGCATTTAATTCTTTCCGCCATTTTTTTTCAATTTTCTTACATTCTAGCTAAAGGATAGACTTTACCTTTACTTAGGGAAGGACAACAATACTACTACACACTTCCGTGCTTGTAGGTTGACTTCCCTTATGCATCTAGTCACTTCACTAATGTGAATAGGTTAGGTTATAGAGAGGGGTGGGATGGTTATATCTCTTATTCGCATTCTTCTTCAAACCTTTTGGCAAAATAGTTGGAATTCTCACTGATATAGCATGTGTGCCACTAGTGCTTTGTCTTTGAAAAGGCAGAATGTTGTTATATAATTCGCTGTTTCAAAATATGTTGTATGTCCTAACCAGATGTCGTGGGGCAATAATGGGTACTTTATCTAAACTAGACAGGATAATTTCACTAACTTTCCTGCTCTAATAGCAATGTTTCTATTCAACAAGAGTGGTTATTGGAAATAACTTATTGTGTCCATCGTTTGGGCTCATAATAAATTAAAAGTTGCTTCTGTTACTCAACCCAGAGCCCTTAGTATTGTCCTAGGATATGTCGTAGGATAATGACTAGGAGGATTTAAAAGGCATTATGGCATTAAGATTGCCAAGGTTTAGCTAAGACTTAGCTCAAGTCCTCACTACCACCCCCATCCGAAGGAAAATGTCCTTTGGCGCCAAAACTTATTTGTTTCTAAATGGATTTGTTTCAACAACATATCTTTGTTCGTGTGAGGAAGGAGGAGAGTTGTAGCCATATCAAACTCCCTTAACCTCTTAAGTGCTTGGACATAGGATTTATGGCCTTTAGTTGCACGTTGACATCTTTTAGTGGGTCGCCCCCACTCTACCTCTGTCTGTAGTAAGCGCTCTCAGCTTCTGTTCATGGCGGGGGGTGGATGGCCTTCATCATTTCTAGGGAGGCTAGGTCGGTCATGTAAGCTTTATGCGGTTATATAATTAAAACACAAACAAGGAGTTGGCTAACCTGATCGTGAAGCAATAGCCATTGAATATCAAGTGGAATGATGTAGGATGTGGCAACACCAAAGTCTTCTACAAAACACCTAGCCAGATACAACTACTTTATGGGAAGCGTTTGTTGTGTATCTAGGGTTTGCAAGGACCTTAGTATTTATAAGGGCTAAGGTATTAATGTTCCCTCCATAAAGGAATCCCAAATCCCACTTTTTTAGCCTATCAGTTAGGTATTATAATCACATAAAATCAATGACTTCATCAATCTTACTTGTATTACAAGACACCTAATATAAGATTGATATCTTTAGGAAATCAAATCACAACATCTACATTAATCTCCAATATTACATTCCTATTATATGATGTAGACCATTTAAGGTTGATTTACATCGAAATACATCGAAATAAATCCAACATTCTCCCACTGGTCTACACATATAATATTTATGTGTATACTTGAAATTGGAAATCAATGTCACTTTAATGGCCATGTAGTTGTGATAACATCATATCCTTGATACATTTTTTTGTCAAATAAGTTTTTAACATGGAACTAACAAGGTTGTAAGGTTGATACAACCCAAAACCTTCATAATCACACATGCTAAAATCCTCATTCACATGAAACACCGTCAAATTATGATCACAGAGATGAACTTTAATTACCTGAATGTGTCTTAACTTTTATCATCTCAGGTCCTCTTTAATGCAAACTTTTACTGCAGTTGCAAACAAAACTTCATAAAACATAATTAATTCAACACCTACAAGCAAGATGAATTAACATGTTTTTGACACTGGTTCATCTACGATATCAGTTACTTTCACAAGAAAATTTTCAACACTTATGAGCAAGATGAAAAAACCCTCACAACTAATACAACATATAAATCATGTCATGCCATTTTAAGTCAAACCAAAAGCATTAATCCACACTTATGAGCAAGAAGATTAACCATTCCTTTATGATTTAAACTGCAATTTGCTTAACTGGATATCAAATATATTGTCATATGATAATTGACCAACACATAAACATGTGACTCAATGAATCCAACCAGAGATTAAACTGAATACATGGATTCAAAAAATTATACATACCTTATAGGTCATCTGCAAATGTAAGGCATTACTAACATGAAACTTTGCAACATCGTCACTTAATTTGCAAATCCATACTTAAATCAAATCTTTTGAAATATGCTTGTGGGAACACCCTTACTTAGTCAATGAATGCATATCACTACAAAATTGTCTTTCTTTAACCTTTCCTTAACACCTTAAATAGCATAATCTCAATGAAAGGTAAAAAACTATGCAAAGGAATGAACAATAATGACTAAAATCTTATGTCCAAAACCCAGTCAGTGTTAGCATGATGGCTAGTGTAACTGTATCAGAATACCTTAGTTTTCTACCTTTAATGAAAACAGTATTTGAAAACATTCTTCATATCATCTTGTAAATGCTTGTGACTTTAAAGCATTAACTTTACTTTTTACTTGATAACTGCATTCAAACAGCCACACAGATATATAATCCAAAACTGACGGACCAGCCAAAAACTAATAGTCTTAGTGACTTAACTACATAATGAATGCAAAGGGAACTAACTAAATTATAAAACATGAATCTCCCACTAATTCAATGCATCAAAATCGAAAATTAAACCCATGGTTTTTCACATACACATGGAACGCTGCATTAGGAAGAACTTTATTAAGTGGATTAGCAAACATTGACTTAGTATCAATGTAATATATTAAGTCCCCATGAGCATCAAAATTCTTTCCAAAGATTCACAAACAATCAATTAAGGCATCCAAATGATTGCAAGTAAAAATATACACATG